AAAAAAAAAAAAAAAAAAAAAAAAAAAAAAAAATACCGTCGAATTGAATACCTCCTTCTTTTGGGAAGTCGGTCAAAAAACAGTTTACTTCAAACTTCATCGGTTTCAACTATTACGTTACTGGCTCATACAAAACGTGAAAATCGTTACACGCCCTATAATTACTCATATTTTTCTTGTAGAAAGCATAATCATGCATCTTTTCCGCAATCACTTTGGTTATAACTAGTGATAAGCAGTTGCATAAGCATTTAAAACAGTTATGAAACGTCGCAAAACATACAGACGCTAGGTAAGACTGTTCTGATTAACATCTTTTGTTGCGGTACTTGAATTCATCTACAGCACCACTTATGCCCGTTAAAGACTGTCCTGACAGTTTTAACTGAAGAGTCTAACTGTTCAGTTAAAACTATGCGTTTGGAAGAAAAAAATTAACTGCCAGTTGTACTGTTAAAGTTTTGGCTTCTAGCTAAATACCATTACTGTAAAATAATCTTAAAAATCACTCACGTCTTCAACAGTTGTTGGGCCTTGGGCCCGAAGTTGCTTAGCATTTTGTAACCGCCAAAATCACTTCGAAGCTCTGAAACAGAAATAAACTAATTACCAAATCGTGGAATAATTAAAAAAATAATTCTTAAGGAAACTTTCGTCCTAGTAACATAATTTAAACATTAAATTATGATACGTTATGTAATTCTGAGTCCACTTAAATGATGTGAATACGATTAACCACAACAATACGTTGACCCGAATTCTAAAAAAAAAATTCCACGCTGCAACATTACTTTGTCACCTTTTAATATTACGGAACGAATACTGATACGAATTTTAAACACTCCGTAAGCGCCACTTACAGGCAACTGTCAATATTTTAATGGAATTCGGAATTTAACCCTCTTAATTCGACGTAGTTTTTTTGTAGCAAAAATATATTTTTCCAATACACTAAAATCAAAATCTCACGTATTCTTCTCTAAATTAACAGTAGATTTTTGTAAATTAGTTGTTCGTAACCCTGGATACTATCGGTTAAGCGTGGTCTTACCATATAAGACCCTACTGTGTTTAAATGTCGTTTGAGTATTCTGCCTTTAGGTAATCATCACCAGCTCACTATACGTCGTCCCCACCGAGGGGCTCGGAGCCTAAGTAAGGGTGTCTAGGCCATAGTCAACCACGCTGGCCAAGTGCGGGATGGTCGACTTCACACATATCTTTGAATTTCTTCGCCGATATGTGCAGGTTGCATCACGATGTTTTCCTTCACCCTAAGAACGTCAGGTAAATTATGTATTTATGAAAATTCGAAAAATCGAAAATCACATTGGTACACGGCGGGAATCGAACTCAAGACCTGTAGATTGCAGGTCAAGTGCTTAAACCACTGAGACTTTAGGTAATAAAGGTAATAAATTAAGTGATATGGAGTAATTCGGTCTTTTTACCTTTCTATATTCCTGAAACTTTCTTCTACATAAATTTAGATTGATTACATCTAATTATCGTACTAAAAATGTCTAGATAGCCATTTAAATCTTAAGACTAACGATTGATTATCTAAGTATTTTATTACTAAAGCAATTAACATTAAACTAAGATAACGAACATAAATAAGTTTCCACAAATGGCAAGATCAAATGAGTGAATTTAAAACAAAACATGTTTAGTAAGAAATGCAAATCAAGTCGTAAACAGAAAAAGCGAAAGTGACGCGTTTTAACGAAATCCAATGCATCAAATTGTTGCAGATTAAAAATTGATTGTTTAATTGTATTAAATGATTTAAAAGAAAAAACTTAGATGAAATATTTTTCGTTTTGTCATCGACATTCAATAACTTTCTAATTTATTTAAAATACTTTTCACAGATGTTGTTACGTGATTTTGGAAATGGAACATCGTAACTTTGTTACTATAGTTCCATTACTATAATCTCTCTTTCTTAACCTTTTTCTGACACGTGTTAGTGGCTTATAGTCTGCCATTTTATCTACGATAATCTTACTAATGTTATAAATGCGAAAGTATAGATGGATGGATGGATGTGTGTTAGAGTTTGTAGCCTAAATGTCTGAACGGATTTCGATGAAATTTGGCATAGATGTAGAGGATAGTATGGAAGGACACATAGGCTATTTACTTTTATATTTTTGAAATCCACGCGGAGGGAGTCACGGGAGAAAGCTAGTAAAAAGATAAAATACACAAACTGAAAAAGACATGTTCAATTTATTTCACTCCAGGTTCGGATTAAGATTTAAAAACATGATAAATAAAAATTGAACAATTGTTTATGCTAATAAATCGTAAGTATTTGTACTTATATTGTTTTTAAAGTCATCGATCTCAATATGACGGTTAATATAGTTATTAAGATAAAAGACAGTATCGGAATGTATAATAAAAGTTTAGCAATCTTTCATAATATAACATCGATTAATATACCATCATTACATATCGATGCCGCAGATAATTACGTGATTTTCCTAACTTGCAACATAACCTATAATGATTTTGTTATCGTTAACATTATGTCACGATATGATGCACAGATAATGTATGGATTAACTAGCTTTCGCTCGCGACTTCGTCCGCGTGTAATCATACTAATATTATAAATGCGAAAGTTTAGATGGATGGATGTTTGTTAGAGTTTGTAGCCTAAACGGCTGAAAGGGTTTCGATGAAATTTAGTATAGGTGTAGAGAATAGTCTGGAAGAACGCAGATGATGTACTCATTTAGTGGGCAAAAGGGGACTCTAAGGATAGGTTTCTCATACTTTTAATTAACGGAGAACACTTGACAATACTTACAGTATGGAAATTAGGAACTTTTTTTATAATTTAAGATATCAATTGCAGATGCGTTGCCTACTCTTAATCGACGGAGGAGGAGACGTATATAAAAAAGATATTTCCCCTTCCTATGCGTCTCCGCTGCCGTCAAATCCACTTTTGCTTCCCATCTTGTCCTTAAAAGAAAAGGGTGGTAAGAGAAAGGGACTTTATTTAGGCCTCTGGCACCACACTAATTAGACCAAACGCGTAATTACTTCCACATCACGCCTGTCTTCTGAGTAATCGTTGTGTTGTACCGAGCGAGCCGAGCCATTCGTGCCAAGATCTATCACTGTTAAAGTTACTAAGTCATTAGAGATTAAGGTGGCTCAGGATTAGTATGGTTTCCAGATTATTATCATATTTTATTAACTATTACATCTATTAATTAAAATTGGCATATGTTATTCTCAGCTACTGCATTACGAATTTCTTAATACATTTAGAAATATGACTATCATTAAGACATCCATTCCCATAAAGAGATATTTATTTTGTAAGACAGTAATTTAATAGCATTGACATTTACAGTTTTGAAATTTATTTAATAGTGAAAGGATGGTAATATGGACGGAAATTAACATTAATGAGTTAGAATGAGCGACACCGTCCGTGTAGAGTTAAAAAAATCCAAAGTAAGTAGCATATGTGTTCTTCCAGACTACCCTCTATATCTATACCAAATTTCATCAAAATCCGTTCAGCATTTTAGGTTACAAACTCTAACAATCATCTATCCATCCATCTAAACTTTCGCATTTATAATATTAGTATGATATATGTAGATGTTACACTTACGTGCCTAATTAAAGTGGGAACAAGAATGATATAAAGAAGTCGCTTCGCCATTTCGGCCGATTCAGGTAGCGTTTGCTAGTTTGCCAACTTGTATTATAAAAAAAATATAGATAGCTAGGAGAGAGTAATGGAATGAAGAATAGAGTATAGATGTATTGTGTTAACAAAATTAAGAAGTAATAAATGATCTGAGGGATGAGGGATGTAACCTTCCGGATGGGGAGGATAATTATACCAATATTATAAATGTGAAAGTTTAGGATGGATGTTAGAGTTTGTAGTCTAAACGGCTGAATGCATTTCGATAAAATTTTGGTATAGCGTAGAGGATAGTCTGGAAGAATCCATAGGCTCTCCACATTTCTTTTTTTTAATACAACGCGGACGGACTCGCAAGCGAAAGCTAGTATCAAATAAAAGATTATCTATTTGTATTTAATACATCATGTTTTAACATCTTTTACTAGTTACTATGTTCTATTTTATAAACATATCAACACAACGTTGTTAATAATCGATTTCAAATAACATTTCAACATGCGATTAAATTCTGCTTGTATTACATGACATCAATTCAGCCATAACATGAATTGAGGTTTTCATAAAACAACATTTTAAATACTGAGCGCAGCAAAATCTAATAAATGTAAAATATTATTTTTATCATCACTCTGTTTACGCGAACTGTTAAAGAAATAAATTCCCTCCCCACTTGATTCAAACATTCCAAATACCGCCGTAAAACTGTAATTTACAATTATACACTACTAGCTTACGCCCGTGAATCAGTCCACATAGACTTAACAAAAGTTGTCTATGTCTTTCCAGGCGGTGTTCTACATCTGTGCTAAATTTCAACGAGATTCATTAATCCGTTTTTGTAACAGACATCCATCTAAACTTTCTCATTTAAAACATTATTACAAAACATAATGATAAGACTTCGATCTAAATATTCAATTATTGAAGACAATTAAAAAGAGCGACGGTGGCTCAGTGGTTTAAGCACTTGACTTGTAATACATAATTTACCCGACGTTCTTACGGTGAAGGAAAACATCGTGATACCTACACATAATCGGCGAAGAAATTCAAAGATATATGTGAAGTCAACCAAACCGCAGTGCAGCGTGGTTGACTATGGCCTAGTCATCCTAACTTAGGGTAGGCTACGAGCCCCTCAGTGGGGACGTTTAGTGAGCTGGTGATGAAATATTTCACTAAAATGGATAGGAAATATACGTCCTTAAATATGTACGCATTTTTACATAACTGTATTTTGCATAATGATGTATTCATACATATTTTGAGTTTGAGAATTTCATTATATACACTTTCATTATATACACTTTCATTATATACACGTCACGCTACGTGCGATTTTCAAAACATTTGGAGCACATGAATAGGTATTGTGTTAACTACATAAAATAAAAATATTTTCCATCTGATTTGTCAGTTTTATAAGCATTGCCTTTTATTCTATTATTATCTTCATTACCAATATATTGATTCAAGGGCTCGTCCTTAAATAAATAAAAATACGAAACAGTTATTAAGAACATATTTAAAAAAAAAATAAATATGTTTGGTTTAGAAATTAATCGCAATTTACTAAAGTTTATTGCCAAAAATATTAATAATTAACTATTTATTTAGAACTGGTATCATTATTATTAATAACTAGCTTTCGCCCGCAACTTCGTCCGCGTGGTATTAAAGAAAACAAAAATATGTAGCCTATGTGCTCTTCCAGACTATACTCTACATCTATGCCAAATTTCGTCTACATCCGTTTAGCCGTTTTGACTAAGAACTGAAATAAATGTAAACTTTCGCGTAAAATATTAGTATGATTAGTAATTCTTAATTCGAGATACTGTTTTTTCTGTTGACCGTACATGTCTCGCCCACGTCAGATATCTAAGATAGACTTTCATCTT